TTTGAACCAAGAGTTCCTAGTGGAAGAGGTGAAGTCACCTCCTCGAAAGTTTTACGGATGCCATCATGATTTTGTTGACCGTTGTGGAATATATGTGTGATATGTTCCAGTTGTCGTAGCCACAGTTTTGTCCATTCTTCTAATCTTGAATTACGGTTTGTTTACAGTATTAAGTATATTTTATAGTTTTATCTGAAAAATAGGTATGAAAAAAAAATCTAAATTTGCTAATAAACCATGGAAATGAGGTCAAGGTCATGTGAACTCTGTCTGGTGGACATGTTTATCTTACATTATTAATCATCAGATACGACTCATCGGCGTGCTTTAATAGGAATACCAGGAGATTTGTGTCACTATAGTGAACGAGAACTGCTGATCCGATCCGGAGCATATGAGTTCATACTCCCATCCGGATGTTGAAGGGATCTTTGTTGCTTTTTCTTTGCGTATGTTGTAATGTTGTTTGTTTGTTTTTTATTTGTAACCGTGTTTATCTTTTTTGATATTTTATAATGACTATTCATGAAGAAGAATGATTCAGGTAGATCATTTATTTCAACAATGCTGTTTCTCCAGTCTATACAATAACCGGTTCTTTTTCTAGATTCAACGATTCTTAGATCGGCCGGTGAAATAGAGTTGCCTAATTATATTCAATTAATCTCTTTCTTCGAATTGGTTTACTTCAATTAATTTTAAACTGTCTGAACAGTTATTTGATTTCTGTTCTCTAATGGAAATAGTTTAAAGACTTGATTTAAAGAACTTTCGGGCGTTGGTTCATTTTAAGGGGTCATGGTATCTTTTTAACGAAACAACGCTTATCTATTGTACCTTCGTCGCCTCTCTGATCACTTTTTAGCTCACCTGGTCCAAAGTGAGCTTTTCTCGTCACTTGGCGTCCGTCGTCGTCCATCGTCGTTTGTCGTAGTCCCTCTTCCATCGTCGTCTGTCGTAGTCTGTCGTCGTTTTAAACTTTTACAAAAATCTTCTCCTCTGAAACTACTAGCCCAAATTTAACCAAACTTGGCCACAATCATTTTTTGGGTATCTAGTTTAAAAAATGTGTTCGATGATCCCGCCCGCTAACCAAGATGGCCGACATGGCTAAAAATAGAGCATAGGGGTAAAATGCAAGCTTTGTCTATTATTTTGAAAACTGTTATAAATAGAGAAATTCTGACAGGGCAAAAATGTCAAGAATGCTGAGCTCTACCAATTATTTATTGACGTCAAAACTGTCAGGCGACTTCTTATAGGAGTTACTGCCCTTAAATGACAAATTTTACCATTTCTTTTAATTTTTGCCTTTTATCTTGAAAACTTTAATAGATGGAGAGAAACGTTAAGATGCAAAAATGATCAGCAAGACAAGATCTACGAATAAGTATGCCTGTAGAAATCGTCAGTCGACTCGTAATTAGAGTTTTTGCCCTTTTGATGACAATTTTTTGCGTTTTTGCCTTACATCTTAAAAATTATAATAGATATATAGAAACATAAATAATCAAAAATGATCAGCAAGACAAGATCTACATTTAATACCACATTGAGGAAATTTTCCGACGACTCCTTATTGGAGTTAGTGCCCTTAAATGACGATTTTTACAATTGTTTTGCATTTTTGCCTTGTATGTTCCTAATGTCGTAACTACAATCCTGTTCCTTTTCCCGAATGTGACCTACCGAATTAGACTTATTACCGGGTTTGTACTAACATGAGCAACACGACGGGTGCCACATGTGGAGCAGGATCTGCTTACCCTTCAGGAGCACCCGAGATCAATCTCAGTTTTTGGCGGGGTTCGTGTTGCTGATCGTTGCTCAGTCTTTAGTTTTCTATGTTGTGTTTTGTGTACTATTGTTTGTCTGTTGGTCTTTTTTCTTTTTTAGCCATGGTGTTGTCAGTTTATTTTCGGCTTATGAGTTTGAATGTCCCTTTGGTATCTTTCGCCCCTCTCTTATAAAATTATAATAGATAAATAGAAAATTTGAATAACAAAAATTATCAGCAAGGTAAGATCCACAAACAATTCAAATGTTGCCGATATCATTAGTAGACTGTCACTCTTCACAGGAGTGATTCTCCTCTAGTTTTATTTATTGGCATATTTGGTGACAAATCGCCCATTAACGTTTTTCGCCGATCTTGTATGCCTACTATACAAATGTTCACCTGTTTTGAAAGAATTCAATAAGTAATATTTCAGAAAATAAAAGAGACAAAGGCATTATTTTTTTCGATTTTCAGATATAATTCAACGAGCCAAAGTTGTAAGCAAAATTTTACCAAAATCTTGTGACATAACGGCAGCCCCTTTTCTGGCCTTCTTTTACTTTAGGGGTCCCGACATTTTTGGATTTTACTTTAGGGGTCCCGACATTTTTGGATTTTACTTTAGGGGTCCCGACATTTTTGGATTTTTCTTTTGGGTTCCCGGTCCATAAAATGAGAAGTAATGGGTTTCTGGAGCACTTACATATAGTAAAATAAGTTAACTATATAGTAAAATGAGTTAACTGCACTTTTCTACATTATTTGTGATGATAAAGTTGGGACCCCTAAAGTAAAAGAGTGCTATAATGCCTTCTTTTACTTTAGGGGTCCCACAACCTATATATAGATAATTTTAATGGGACCCCTAAAGTGAAAGATTGCTATAATGCCTTATTTTACTTTAGGGGTCCCACAACCTACATACAAGCCAATACTATATAAACAATCAATACAACAGTATAAATTTTAAATACACTATATATTGTGGGACCCTCCCATTTTTAATTATACTGAATAATGTTGGGACCCCTTGAAACAAATAATTTATTATCTTCAAATCAAGGTGGTTTTAGAAAAAATTACAGAACTATAGACCTTGTCTTTATTTTAAAAACAATAATAAACAAATATTTGTTTAAATGCAAAAAGAAACTATATGTGTGTTTTGTGGATTTTAAAAAGGCTTTTGACAGTGTCTGGAGATCAGCTCTATTCTTAAAATTACAAAATAAAGGAATACAAGGCAAATTTTATAATATACTGCATGACATGTACTCTAATACCTTATATTCATGTAAATATCAAAATATGTTTACTAAGCCTTTTCTTGCTAACCAGGGAGTCAAACAAGGAGACAGTTTAAGTCCAACTTTATTTAATATATTTGTTGATGACATAGGAAAATACTTAGATACAAACTCAACTAGTGCAGTGGATTTACATGATCAAAAAGTGAACCATTCATTGTATGCTGATGATTTATTATTGATATCTGAATCTGCAGCTGGTCTCCAGAACTCTCTTGATTCTTTGCAAAAATATAGTGCTGAATGGAAACTGGATGTGAACTTTAAGAAAACAAAAATTATAATTTTCTCTAAAAATAAAGTAAATAAAGAAAACTTGTACTTTTATTACAGATCTAATGCAATTGAAATCGTTGATTGTTATAAATACTTAGGAGTTGATTTTCATAGCTTTGGAAAATTTATACAGGCAGTGTCAAGCCTCTCAGATAAAGCTAAAAAAAGCATATTTTGCATTAAAGTATAAACTCCCATATAGTGAAAACTTGTCTGTTAAAACTTGGCTTCAGCTTTTTAATTCAATGATAATTCCTATTTTAACTTATGGATCAGAAGTATGGATATCAGAATTCAAACCAAATTTTGAAGCATTAGACAAAAGTAAATTAGAAAAAACACAACACTCCATATTTAAAAACATACTTGGGGTTCGTGGAAAGTCTTCCAATCTAGCAGTGCGGTGCGAATTGGGCACATTACCTATTAGCATTAAATGTTATCAACTTATGTATAAATACTATGTGCGTCTCAGTGATATTGGTGAACGGTCTGGTGGTCCACATGAAATTCTCAAGGCTGCTTTTGAAGTGGACAAAACTCTCACAAATAGAGAAAATTCATGGTCTAATAAATTATGTGAATTATTAAAATATTGGAATACCCTTAAACAAGCATTGTAATAGTAATTTCAAACAGAAACTAGAAGATTTCTACAAAAATAAAATTATATTCGAACTATCTAAGATAAAAGATGGAAACTAACTTTTATTTTTTAGTAAAATTTATACTAAATTTAAACAACAAGAATATTTGAACTTTAATGTTCCTAAATATCTTAGAAAAAACTCACTAAATAAGAATAAGTGCACACTCATTAGCAATAGAAACTGGTAGGTATGCAAAACCAATAATACCCTCTAATGAGAGATTTTGTACATTTTGCACACTCCGGGAAAAATTGAAAATGAGATACATTTCTTGATTGAATGTCCTCAATATAACAAAATTAGATCTAAATATAAAATCAATGATATTAACACAAATAATTTGGCTGAAAATTTTATCAAAATGTTAAATCCTATGTCTGAAAAAGAACTAAAATCTAGTTGTATGTCAGTATTGAAGAAGCTCTTGATTTGAGAGACCACCATACTGTTTCATCAGATAATAATCCTTTATAGTAGTTTGTGCATATACACATATATCTTATATAGGTGATTGTGTTTTTAAGTAGGGTTATGAAAATTGAGAATAATCGTGATGTATATGTTTAATGGTATTAATATGAGTTTAGAATGTAATGGTATTCATCATAGAATATACTTAGAATGTTATGGTATCTATAGAATTTACTTATGACTTGCTGTTACATGCATCTATATTTCATATTATTATTGTCTGTATTTGGATCACGCCTCTATTGTGCTCTTTCCAATAAATATTGAATTGAATTGTAAAGCAAAAGAAGGCCCATTTTGAAATTTCTGTTCCTTGACCTTAAAGATGGATTAACAAATCATGATTTTTTAATACATTTAAGCGAACATTTCTCATGTTATTGTTATGAGACATGCTTAATTCAAACTAAACTGATTTGATCGGTAAACACGTTTTCACCACAATCATCAATTCATATTTGCCGCCAAAGAAATTTACTCTGACGGAAGTTTACTTCGTACGCCACCTGTTGGAAAGTTTCGCTGATATTCCTGCATCACAACAAACAGTCTTGTGGTTTTGTAGACAGATTTCTCGTTAATTTTCTTGCATGGTAATGCTTAAATATTCATTGCGTGCATGAAACTTAATCTGACAAAAATGTATTTCGAAATTACACTCTATGCGTAAGAACAAGCTGTATATAAACATGCAGACACCTCCCCCTTTTTGCAGCCTCCAGAAAAGAGACTTTCTTCTGGTATCAATCGATGAATGACCCGTCATGTTTTGTATTTTTTCGTCCAAACGACATTATTGGCAGTATTTCTTCAAGCTATGAAATATATGATATATAAATTTCAATTGGCATTTTTAATCCCCGATTCCTCTAGGTCATTAATAAGACCAATTTCAAGTTCCTTTTTATGATTTACCCAAAATGGAGTAATTAATTGTCATTGAACAATCAACTCTTACTGTGACGTTATGACATAAATATTGTGACATTTGAAATGTACTGTAAAATGTGCCAATGCATATCTGCCAACCTCTGAAACCTTCAATGATGGAGATCTCCCCCCTCCCTCAGCTATGACAGTCCATTGACATTGTTCATGTTGTTATAATCTAAAACCCAATCGATTTTGTATTTTTTAGTCTCCACTGCCTTATTGTGAGTTTCACATATACATGTAGCACGTCTTTTAACATCATAAAGACCACCAGAATCAATCAAAAGTTGACTGAACATAAACTATGTGCTAAAGGAATATTCATTGTTCCAGTCTTTCCTAAGGCACCGGCCTCCCAAACAGAAAGTAGCACAGGTTAGCTACTAAATCTACAAAATGTATACACACTTAAAATATATTTCCCTATATTTCTCATATCTGTCTGTGTACATATGCATATATGTACTGTGAATAATTAGGGTTATATCTTTGTAGCAGTTCATTCAAGTATGTTTATCTTTTAAGTTTTGTCAATTTGCAGGCTATTTTTGTCATTTTAATATGAGGTAAGAGTAATGAAACATATACAGTACCAGTTTGATAGACAACTGCCTGATCATCAAACAATCAGAAACAAGGTGGGGCCTAATTACAATGTCCAACCTCCTTAAATGTCAATCATATTAACCAATTTACTAATCAACCTCAGTCTTACATAATTAATCAGACCCTTCATTATACATCTCAATACACAAATACTTGACCTCAATATTGAATACTGAAATTATATATTAGATGTTTGATATATAGAAATGATAGATTTTTTCATTGCCTATTACTTTTGATCTACACTACATACGGTTATTCTATAAATTATGTCTGAAAGATAAATGATTAATAACTAACCAGATCTTTTTTTTTCAAAAGAAAAGACAAAATATGAAATATGCATATATAAAAAGGTATTCAAGTATTGAATACAGGAAGTGTACTTTTGCAATTAAGAATGAATCCCCATTTCAATAAAATAAGTTTTTAAATTTGTTATGTTCAAAAAGTATATTTTCAATGCCCTTTATCGGAAAATATTAAATTAAAAATTTAATAGACCAGTTTCACATAAGCGACTTATCAACGCTGATCTCGGAATCTTGTACGCGTTTGAGTTTAAATCCCACGATAATTAAAGATATCATACGTGGCAGGGGGCTACATCAAATTGACTCTGATATTTAGCAACACAATAATAAATCAACCGATAATACACATCACTCTCTCTCGTGGTGTATGCTGGAGATTATTCAATTTTACGATATATATTAATAATCGTTTATCTTATATATTCCGAATAAATAGTTTGACCGTTTATACAGAGAATAACATAAATTTAAAATAAAAAGATGTGGTGTGATTGCAAATGAGACTACTATTCACCAGAGCCAAATGACAGATGAAAGCAACCATATGTCACCATACAGCCCTCGACAATGAGAAAATCTATACCGAATAGTAAGCTCTAAAAGGTCACGACACAAAACAATTCAAACGAGAAAATAAGTCATCCTGTTGCTGTAAAGAGTTCATAACAGTTGTGTTTATGAGTTTAAAAAGTATTAATCTTGTAATTGCACTATGTACATTGCTGTATGTCAGTTTGATTTTTCGTGAAAATAGAAAAATATTTTGATAAAAAGAAAACAATCTAAACATAAGAAATACATTTAATTTCAGTTCTGTTCCAGTATCAATTCCCAGTTTTTCTTAAATATTTTTTTACATAGGCTTTAAGGTATCATTATATGAATATTTGAAGGTAAAATGAATGATAGAATTTCAAAATAAAATGTGAGAAGATAGCTCTTATCAGAATACCAGCAGAAAAAATTGAGTCACCATGCGTTTTATCCTGTTTAGCATACATGGCATATAACATAAAATAGAACACTTTCCTGTTAATTGTAATAGACATATAGTAGACAGGGCCCTGGCTCCGTGTTGAAGACCGTACTTTGACCAATAATTGTTAACTTTTTATACATTGTGACTTGGATTGAGAGTTGTCTCATTGGCACTCATACCACATATTCTTATTTGTATGTACATTTGTTTCAAATATTTCTGCATCAGTGATGTTTAAAACTGTCATGATAATGAAGTGAGATATAAGGCAGTTTTAAAATACGTATCAGAAATACAGGTTTTATTTATCTTCAATTTTCAAACATTACACTATAATACAATGCATTCAATACCATTTTAATTTCTAAGCTATGTTCATGATCGACCTCGTCTAAGCAGATGTTCAGTGCCAGCGGCCAGAGTAATGTTCTACATATTTCAACTTTATCAGTTTTCATGTCATTAAAAGTAATTGAATATCCTGTATCTACCACGCTTTACCATAAAATAATATCAAACTGTTGAATGACCCTCCTCCTAAATTATTAAAATATTCCCAGTGGCATTAACCGTACTGGCCATGATATCTCAGTGTAAATTAGGTACCAGGGTAAACATTTTAAACATCTGTATTAGGGGATGACCATTTGATTTTCAGGGAGAGGGGGTTAGAAAATTGATATTCTAGTAGGAGTTAAAAATAAATAATTATGACCAAGGCAGGATGGAAAAGAATAATCTGCAACACAAAATGCAGGAAACAATTGTGTACAAAAGTTGAATAAACTAATCAAATGGTCGCCCTTTTTCAGTAACTGTGTAGAAAAGGGTACGTTTTTATCAATTGTCACCTGGTGAGATTGTACAAGGTAAAAAGAGGATTCCACATGGCTAAGGTGTTAATTGACTTCTTAATTTATGACCTAATACTATGTATATGAAGTAAGCCCCGCTTATCTAATCTATTCTTCCCGTTAAGTGAACGACCTCAGCGTGAATTCGTGACAATTAAAGGTACAATTAAAGCCAGGCGGCATATCAGATCATATATTACTGCAACCAACAACACAGCAGTAGTCCGTTTTAAAATCTTTTAATGTGTCATTGTTAATAAAGTTGTCTCGTCAATATAATTTTTTATATTTTGATTCAAATGATGCTCATGTTGCTTGGACATGTAAACGCAAACAATCAGATGATTGTTTTTTCCAAGTCTGCATGATCACTGCTTATCAACCGTTAGCCCCCAGTTGATGAACTCTCGGTAATTATCGCAAGATTTCATAGTTTGGCTTATAAGATTAGACATGCGCAGTTAAATGTGAAACTGGTGTATTGAAATACACTTTACAACTTTTGATCTACAGTGTCATATAATCATGATAATTGTTTTCAAAATCAATAAGCAATTTAATTTATAGAGGAGAAAAATAGTAAACCTATGTTTCAACTTACAAAATGCCCCCAAAACAACATTTATAAATTATTTTTGGAGACAATAAACATGATAAAGATCTTAGTTTCAAGTCTATCTTTTGCATCCATGTTCTACAAGGATAATTGATAAATTTATTAGAAGAATATTTTATTTATAAATTTCTCTTCTTTATCTAAAGATAAAATGTAAAAGGTGAAACATGTAATAGGGAACATTATTTGGTTAAGATATGAAATTGCAATTTAAATAAAATTGTTGTGCCATTTAAGGGATCTGCTATCTGACATTGATTCCCATTTAAAATTTATAGCATATTTTATCTACTGAAAAAGTGCTTATCCTTCAAAAGTACTGCAGTTAATGCAATAGTCAGCAATAGTGCTATATTACTGGTAATGTTCCTTTTTGTCCACATACATCATACCTAAATATAATTTGAAATTATTCAAACTACTCTTCCAATCTTTCCATGAGTATTCTAGATCTCCATCACTTTGATTTACACTGCCACTTGTTCATGACAAATATCTCTTTCTTGTTGTCATGACAGAAATGATTTTTGATCACAGATAAATCGAACATAAAAACTTATCACGAATGTTTTCAAATGATTGCCCATTGTTTGTTTATTTCTGTTATTAGTAAAGAAAAAGAGAAATACGAACGTGAGTCATTCTGGGTTAAAATATCTGAATGCGGGAGATTCTATACTCCCGTGTGGTAGCATACTAGCAAGTGGGTGATTTCCGGAATTTCTTCGTTTGTGCGGGAGGGTTGGCAGGTATGGCCAGTGTGAAAGTTGTCTACTAACCTTATCACTTTTGAAATCTTCCACACTTGAAATATTGATGTCATACAACAATAACTTATATTTTTGTGGTGTAAAACATTTTTCTCTTTTGAAGTCAAAATTTTAATGTCCAGTAATGTCAGACATAATATAGTGATGAGGTCTATGATTAAAGCTAAGTAATATGGATTTATGTTGTTCTTTCCAAATGTCTTGCCATTGCTGGTTGTACAGACCCCAGCAGATCTGTCTCCATGATGACATGTTTCCATTGTTTATATCAATTATATCAAACAAAACTTATGACAATATAATTAAATAAGTGTTTATCATTTATGAAATATAAACTTTTGGAACTAGGTCATCCAAAATGAGGTTTATACTTTATAGAGTGCTTTTATATAATTTATCCCCTTTATGTTTGAAATTGTAAAAGCAATAAACAAGATTTGTTATCTACATGTACAGCAAATACATACATATACATTTGTACACTGCCGTAACACCAATGATAACCATAAAAAGTTTGTTATTAGCCATTTTCAATGATACAGGAACTTTACAAGAAATCCTACACCAAGTTGGAAAATATGATAGGTGTTTCTCTAATGTTGGCTTGCTTATTTGATTGTAGATAGTTTAATTACCTAGCCTAGGTCTTAAAATGGATGTTACAAACTGTCAGGATGAAATTGAAGACTTAGACAATGATGTAAGTTTCTTGTTTATGCAAAACAATGTTTTCTCTATTCAGTAATTTGCTTCTTTAACTTTAAGCAAACAACAATCAATCAATCAAACCAATTTTCAATAGATGATAATTGTGCTTCATAATCAGTGATAAGGTCAAGGTGAAGTAAGGGAATATGTCATACAAAAAATATTGTTTATTAAAGGATTTAAACTGAATTATGACTTTGAAGGTGTAGATAATTTGAATTAATGTTTACCTTAGAATATTTGCCTTATAGTTAAACAGAAAACTGAAATATTTAAAAGTTTCTGAATTCTTATTAAATATAGATATTTAAGGATACCTGTGAATAGATTTTTAAAGTAGATCTGTTGCTTTTATATATAAATGATGATCTGGCTGAAAAAAAGAAATTTGTCATTTACCTCATTTTTCTCATCAAAAATCTTACAAAGAGCCCTACCTATGCTTCAATGGAAATAATTGGTGCGATAGATGTATAATATTTAATGATTTTGAAATTCTGTGTTTTCCTTCAAGGGTGTCTTTCTCGTGTTTTAATTTTTTACTTGTTCAATGTGTAGTTTTTGTCTGATTATGGGGAAAATATTTGCCAACTATTTATTTTCATCTGATAATGAAATGATGTAAATTGATTCATGGATTGACATACATGATGAACTAAATTTATTTCTATTTAGACAAATCTCATCTCAGAACCAGAACCAGTGATTGGTATTGAAGAGGTAGGTTGATTGGACAATGGATTTAAGACAACTTATACTTTGAGTTAATGAAGAAAACTGTCTAAATATTTAAGAATTTATTGTGAATGATTCATAGAATCAGAATTGCTCACACACTAGCTAATGATTTATTTTACAGCCAACAAATCAAAATTTTTGGGGTTATATTTCGCTATTTTTGAGAGTTGTGCATATGCAAAGTATTGCATATATTCATGCAGCCAAGTCCATGCAGTTATTTCCTTTACATAGCAGAGTATAAAAATAATTCAGAAGAAATGCTTTGGAGAAAATTGTGACATTTAGCCAATACATTGTTTGATGTTCAAAGTTCAAAGTAAATAATGTCTACAGAAATTGACTGATGATTCACAAGCAGATTTCATATTTAGTTTAAAGCTAAGACATGGACATTTTTCTGTAAAACACTTCATTTGTTAGTTAATTGATGCATTTGTCAGTAAACCAGTACATTTGTTAGTTAATTGATGCATTTGTCAGTAAACCAGTACATTTGATCAATGCACAGACACAGCCTGGATGGTATAGTGGTAGTATGTTGCCTTAAGTCCAAGGTTTGATCTATTTCTGGGTCAAACCAAAGATTTTAAAACTAGTATTTGCTGCTGTTCCTCCATGCATACAGCATTAAAGAGTAAGCCCAAAGACTGGTTGACTCGAAGTCAGAATAATGTGTTTGGGAAGGGGGGCATGTCTTCCTGTTGACTGTTACCTTGTGAGCAAGCAAATAAGTTAAAAAGCCGGTCTAGTACAAAGCAGGGTTCATATTGATATCGCATTACAAGTATTATCATCATCAATGCATATATATCTGGACTTTTTTTTGCACCAGATGGCACTAAAGCATTATAAGATTAGTTGATTTCTTGGAATTGCATACAATGTACAAACTATTAGTCCTATTCAGAAATCAACACTAAGGAGTGATACTTCAATGTGAAAGTCATATGATACCTCTAATTTAACAAAAATATGAATATGTTTTAATGAACTAAATGGCTTTTTTTTTTTTTTTTATAAAACACATGTCCATATACATTGTACTACTTTCAACTAAAAATCCTTTATTTTTGTCCAAATCTTCAGGAAATGTTCTGCTATTGAATTCATATTTTTTCGTACAATTCACTATCAGCTTTTCAGTGTTAGAAATTAAGCAAGTGTAAAGGGGAAAACTGTGATGGAAGAAAAGGTAAACAAACGTTGAAAGAAGTAGTATTAACCAGTTTGAAAGAAAAGTTATATTACACCAAATCATTTAACAACTGTTATGATAAAAGTTAATTATCAAATGGGAATGCATGTCAAAATATTTAAATATAAAACAAATAAACCAAGCTCTATTATCTCCCTTATTAAAATATGCTCATCGTACTCAATATCCTTGCTTCTGTGTTGATTGTTTATCAAGGTCACAATCTGTAACCTTTGGCAACAAAACCTGAAAGTTAATAATAGCCAAAGTTTTCATTTGTTGATTGTACTTTATGGATTCATATAAATGTAAAAGATGTGCACAAAGGACCTAGTTCAGTATTTGCATTTGTTCAATAATTTCCTAACATTATAATTACCAGAAAGTCTTTTCAAATGACTTTAAAATGAAAAATGAAACAGTTCTGATCAGAATTATAAAAGAATAGATAAATTTGATAGATAGTGTAAATAGGAAAGAGGGTAATACCAGATTTGAAACTTAAAATAAATATAACATTGTTAGCAATACTAAACATAATATACTGGTACTCATTATTTACATTCCTTGCATGTTGTACGTGATCCATATATTTTCAATCCACTTAGTTACCAGATGATGATGATGATATTTCTGTTACTGAAACCCCAAAACTAATCCTGGAGGAGTCAACCTCAACCGATTCAGAGCTTCCCGATCCACAGGTATGTCCTATTTAAGTATAGACAAAGTGTGAACCTTGAAATAGGTTGTACTAACAGAACCGTTATGCAATGATTTTATTTCTACTTATAAAATTCAGTTTAAAAAAACAGTCATGGATTATGTAAGAAGGTAGCCAGAAAATTGTTTTCTTTTTTTCACCTGTGTGTTTACAAATGGATTAAAGCTTTTAATGATTAAGAAATAATTCATGTAAGCCATAGCTTTGTTGGAACTTTCTCATAGCCAGTGGGCTGTTATATTCAAATTTTATCCAGAGTATTAGCATAAAATACCTGTACCTTCATATAGATATATCTATCATTTAAACATGCTATTGATTATAAAGCGAAAGCAGCACTTCATATTAGAATTTGGAATATATGCTGTTACACAAATTTATTATTCCAATGTTAAATTTCAGTTGCATGGATGCTAAACTTTCCTATTTAGTTATCAATATCAATTATCTCCAATCTTACACATTCAGTTGATTGATTGCCTTGATAAACATTTCTATAAATAATTATTTCATGGTGGAGATGTTATCAACAGTTGTTTTTCCCAACTTTTTGTTGCATGAGCGAAAAATAGGGCTAATGAAAATAAAAATTGTGGCAAATTCATTTGGTTTCAACAATTGTTTATATTTAATCTTACTAGAAATCATACATGAAACCGAATTTGAATATATAAAATAAGAATAACTCTTATAACAGAACAAAAATAATTCATTTTCATGAAAAAAATTGTAAGGTTACTGAAAAACATATATCTTAAATTTTAACCAATTTAATTCTATTGGTATACATTGGTTTTTTATGTTATATTTACAGTTACAAGAACCTACCAGCACTGGACGTGGAAGACCAAGGAAATCAGATACTCCTAAAAAACTTGTTAGTACACATTTAATTGGTGTTTAAGGATAGTCAATATAGTTTTAAGGGGATAAAACACGAAGATAAACATTCAGTGTTCTGTTGTTGTCGGTTTTGTTTATGATGAAGTCTAAACAACTGAATACTATCATGTATATAGTTCCTTATTAACATTAAGTCAAAAGCAGGAGTGATAATTGGTGCAGATTTAAGGGGTCCACTTCCTTAAGGGGCAAAAGTTTGTTCTTAAGTTTCTCCTTTTTTTTTTACAGAACAAACATTCCTGAACTCTTCATGGTTCTCCCTCCCACTTTTTGAAAACATTGATCTGCCACTGACAAGTTTATAAGCACTCATAAGATATGACTTAAGACAATCACTGATGAGGTTCCTGATTATTTGTTTTGATTTTGTTGCCTGGAGCCATTGATATCATGCCACTGCTGTTTAATTATGTTTTATTGTATGGTTCGATTGATAAAAGCTGGAACTATTACTTATCAATCATGATACTGCTATGTAAATAAGAATGATCTTTTTTCATATTTTATTTAGGAAAATATATGCCTGTCTGATTTCAGAATATACCATGTCACCAAAAATAGTTGACCACATTTTATGGTAGAAAAAGATATTGACTTGATATGAATAGACAAATATAATTCTGGTGTACAAATGTGGCTACATTTGTTTGATATTATTCACTTCAATCTTTTGTGATAGTTTCAGGAGCTTGTAATCCAGTGGTTATCATTTGCTGCTGTCTGCTATAAATGTTTTTTGTTTATTGTTAAGATAAATGAGGCCTTTGGTTTTCTCTTTGTCTTCCCACAAACTGTTTCCTTGTGAACTAGGGTGTTAATAGTCAGACTCAGCATGTTGGTCTATTACAAAGCAGTGTAAATACAACCACATATTTTACCAATATGTTATAGTCCTGAACATGCATGTAAATATTGTACTTTACAAAATCACCCATTAATCAATCTTAAAAAAAATTTTGTCACGTAAGCTGACATTTGGAAATTACCTGTACATTCATGTTAAAGTTTTCTCACATGTTCATAATTATCCGAAGTTATAACATTGATTACAATTTTTTTTGACTGTCAATCAATTTCAGAAAGCATCAAATGTTTTAATGCTACAATGTCCTGTTGCATACACTATAATAAATATTGATTGATATTGTAACTTGTTTATTTTCAGGATGATGTACAACAATCAGACAGTGAAAGGAAAACAGATTTTATGTTAGTTACCCCAGTATGTGTAATACCAAAAATATATCATATAACATTATTATATTTCATGTCAAAATGCCAGATTTTGATTGGTTAATATGAGGTAGACAATTTACTCTATCCTATGGTAAATACTCTATTACCCTTCACGGAGACACTTGATCAAGTGTGCGCTTTATTAAATACGGATGATTATGTACAAGACGTCATAGTTTATTACTTTGAGTTTGAAATTTAATAGACAGTAATAACAGAACATTCAGTATAATAAATTAAATAACACATATCTGAGAGGATGATAGAGCAGATTGTTACCCCTCGAAAAGACATTGTCAACCTTGGCTTCGCCTCAGTTGACAATGTTTTCTCGGGGTACCAATCTACTCTATCACCCTCTCAGCTATGTGTTATTTATATACTGTTTATCTTCAAACAAATATTACGTCCAATTTGCATAAAAATTGTGCTCCGGTTATTCATTTTATTTGTTGTCATTTTCATGAGCATTGAAACCTCAGCTAAGAGATTTGACTCCTTTTTATCATTTAACTCAGAATTTGGGTGTGAAGCTGTCAACTTTTGACTTTATATTTGTAGTTATTTGTCTGCTATAACAGGACATATTATAATTTATTAGATTTATTGATAGTATTAGCTTCAATGTTTTGTGATAATTTCAGGAGCTTCTAATCCTGTGGTTGTCATTGATTGCTTTCTGCCATGAATGTTTGAAATTTGTTAAATTAAAATGTTCTGTTCATGTTTGACTTTTAAGAGACAAGGAATATTAAAGGCCTTTAACAAAATATTGGCTACATTTAAAAGAAACATGGAAATTTAGACAAGATATTTCGGTTCCATTGAAGCAATCAGTTTATTTCTCTTGATATTTTTTTCGGAGGGGGGTTTGTGCTTCAAGTGTATTAGAACGTTACAGCATATGAATAAGATTTAAATAAAGATTCCAGTAATATTTAACTTAATTTTTGATTTAACACCAAGATACAAGGTTATATACCTATGTATTTTTTCAGTCATTAAAAAGAGGAAGAGGAAGACCTCCAAATCCATTCAAACTACCTGTAAGTAACAATCTTGGAGAAAATTTTATAATATGCATACTAAAATATGTCATGTAATTAATTAATTGCTGATTACCATATACACATAGCTAATACGTGTATTGATATTTAATTTCACTGTTAAACATGCCACAAGCTTCTACCTTGGGTTTAAGCAATGGTGATTTAATATGGCTGAAATGGTCATCCTATGTGAAATTTAGATTGAAAATTCTTGTTCCAGTCTGATGGAAGAAAAGATTTACAACATAGCAGCCTTTAGTTCCGAAGTTGAACACTATTTATTCTACTAGAAAGTAAACCAAACCAAACTATTCCAAATAATTTTGCTTTGATATAGCTTGCATAGATTTAACTCAGGTTTGTTAATTATTGATAATTTATAGAAGTTTTTCATAAGATTGGTCATATTTTTGTAATTTGTAGAAATCAGATGGTCCAAAAAAAGTAGGACGGCCAAGAATTCATCCACCGGTAATATACCATATATTTAAGTATTTAGTAACTTATTGAAAATGCCTCCATTTATCTTATAGATATTTTGCGTGGCTCTTAAAATTATAGCTAAAAAAGTACATATTGTTTTTGTCTTGGCTATCACTGAATGTGAGACAAAGGAATTCTTACCTGGTGGCAGTACATGTATGATGTAGTCCCATGTATTCATGTTTGACTGACTTCAGCTGACCTTTACTTCATTTTCATGACTCATTGATCAACTTAAAAATTTCATGATTACATCACATTTTAAGTTACTTTTAGTTGATGGTCAGCTATATAACATTAGTTGTAAGGTGTACATATATGTCTGGCAGGGTTCATCTGACCTTTACATCATTTTAATTGATCAGTGATAAAGATTAGTTATAGCTGTGGGAAGTATTTGTTGCTATTATCAGTTATTGAAGTGTAATTGTAGTCGGAGATCAAATGTGAGTTTTGATCTAGTTGGCCTACTTTTAACCTTATCATGCCCTTTAACTTACAAATCTTATTAAAATAATAGTTTTTCTCTCTGTTTATAGCCTTTGATGCAAAAATTGAGCTGATATTTGGTACCCAAATGGGATAAAATTACTGATCAAATACACATACAAGTTTTGTACTATCAATTGTTCTCCTATACGCCAATCTCGAGTTTGTTTTTTATGAATGAGTTACACCGGTTGACCCAAGGTCAATCGGCGTAAACAACATCATTGAACAATCAGTTCTTAGGCCACACCAATTTAATTTCTTTTTCTATGGATTTTTCCACTCCAGAAATTGGGGCGAGCAAGCGATTTGTAAATTTTAATAAAAAAAAATTTAATTTGCAAATTTTTAAGGTGAAGCTTGAAAAGTAAAGGCGAGCGATTATATTTTTTTGTTCTGACAATATTGATCATAACAAGATGGTATGAAACTTGATTTTCCACTTGTACTTTGACATTTCTTTAATTTATCAACTGCTGAAGTTTTAGTGTTTTTTTTGCTGCTCACCAAGACATGTAATGCCCACTTTTAATTGCAGCATATTTATGACTTTTTGTATTACTGTTACTTTCTGAGGACATCAGATCTTGAACTGAATAATTGAATAATTATTTCCACTGCCTTAAATGATCTCCATTGAATTGTCATAGATGTCTTTCCTACTTCACCGGACATGACTTATAACTAGCAACACAGCTGGTGTCTTGCAAGAAGCAGGAACTGCTCATCCTTCCAGGACACCTGAGTTCACCCCCAGTTTTTAGGGGTTCGTGCTGTTCGTTGATGTATGTACTTTTTAGTTTTTTGTGTTATGTGTTGGTTATCTGTGTCTCCGTCGTTTTGGTGTTCTCATTTTTGTTCTTTGTCTTTTTGGCACTTTGTATATAGATAAGATGTGGTATGAGTGCCAATGAGACAAATCTCCATCCAAGTCACAATTTATTTAAAGTTACCATTATAGGTCAAAGGATTGTCAGTTTTCCTATCGAAGGTCGTTAGTTTTCTCCGGGCACCCCGGCTTCCTCCACCAATAAAAACTGGCCGCCACGAAATAGCCCAAAAGCGGTGTTTAAAAGTGGCGTTAAAACACCAAAAATCAAATCAAATCAAAGTCAAACACGTTGCAGTCATATAATCCTGGGCTAAGCTTTGTCTTATATATTTATTTAAAAAAGTAAGATATTATTCTAAGTTTATTATATAATGGGATTCCTAATTTGTATATGTTGCAGAAAATACCCAGTGGTAGAGGTCGGGGAAGACCAAGAATACACCCTCCTCATCCTCAGGTATATATAACTATTTTGTAATCTATATAAAATTGAGAACGGAAATGGGGAATGTGTCAAAGAGACAACAACCTTACCAAAGAGCAGAAAACAGCTGAAGGCCACCAATGGGTCTTCAACAAAGAGAGAAAATCCCGCATCCCGTGGCGGGCTTCAGCTGGCCCCTAAACAAAAATGTGTACTAGTTCAGTGAAAATGGACGTCATACTAAACTCCAAAACATATAAATGAACTAAAATGTATCTTTTTAGAACAAGGTATTTATGAAATCTCAAAAGGTTTAAACATTAGCTTTATAATCAAGCTACATTTATCTGAAGTTAAGATGTGTCTACTTTGTAAGTTTAATAAAATGACTGGATGGGATTTGGAAGTTCAATCAGATTCCAGGTGTTTATAGAGTGACGGGACATGCAGTATGTTAAAGTACCCTTTCTATAATTCTTATAAAGCACTCTGTTGATGACAATATTTCAATATGATGTTGATAGTAATTTTGTTGAATATTTTCGATACATATAAATAATTTCAAGCACAAGTATACTACATCACCAAAATATTGCATTGGTTTTCTGGAATGGATTAAAAGGAATGTTTTGTTTAAAATATGATGATTGTTCACTGTGCAAAGTTTATCCTAAAACTTACCTTCCTTTATTTTTTTGACAAAATGTGACAGATTTTAATGAGAATAGTAGAAGAAATTTCTGGATGCTTCCAAATAAATAAGCACTCTATACATTAGGAATATCTTACAATGACGTTTAAAATCATAAAAGGACTGTAAAATTGATCCATGTCCATTTTTTCCTAGTCCTAACTCAGGATTTTTTTTTACTTTAGATTCACATGTGTGAAAAACAGCTCTCTTTAAAATTTAAGGAACAAAAGGTTTATACTTATCTGATATAGGTTGTAGAGAATTTTCTAATTGGTTCCATAAATTTTTTTTAGTCAGAGGGTAGAAGATTTGCAAGACCATTTAATATGGTAAGGATTATACTATCTATAGCTAAAATTTTGAAATTTGATTTTTTTTTCTTGCTTTTTTCATGTCATATGTTCAAATTCTAAAAGAAACAATCACATAGTCATACAGAAGAAGAATTTACAAAAGATGTGGTACACAAAAACATCAAATTTGAGAAAGGCATTTATCGTAAAATAACTTAAGATAAAAAATAAAAATGATAAAAGGGAAATATAAATGTTACATGTAGCAGACGTGATAACTGTATATTATTAAAAAAAAAGTAGAAAAATATCAAGATGCAATAAAAAATCTAAGGAAAATACATGTAACACCATGACCTAAAGAACAGAACAGAAAAACAATTCTACAAAATGCTTCACAAAACTAAAGATCAGTCTATTCAAATATTCAAACATGAATTTAGGTGCTCGAAGGATAAACAGTTCAATTAAGGACTATTTTATTATCTATTAGGCTGTAATACAATGTAGGTATGATCTTCTTGCAGTTAGGATTATTGTTTAAAGAAACCACCTTTAACAAGCAACAGAAAAGCACCGACAGTTTACAAAAAACTCATTGTCTTTGTCACATAAACATAGAATTGATTGCATGGAGCCTATTTTGTCCAAAAAATAAAACAATTGGTAAATGCTTGTATGATGTTATACAAGGGTATTGCAGAAAATATATTGGAACACCTTAAGAAAAAGATAGATTCCTTGCATCCTCTATAAGTATGAAGACTTATGAATGAATTAAACTTGAAGAGAACTTGGGATCATAGATAGACTCACAAATTAATTCCTTTCGGGAACAGCATCGACAAATTTCAAAGCATATTAGCTTAATAACTCCTGATAATCAAGGATCAGTTAAAATGTATCATCTGCCCATACTAAACTCATGTTACTATATGATGGAATGATCGTAAGGTGTACATGTCCAGGTGGCAGGTGTCATCTGAGCTTGACCTCATTTTCATGGTTCAGTGGTTAAAGTAAAGTTTTTGTGTTTTGGTCTATTTTTCTAATACTGTAGGTTGCACTTTGTAAATACAGCTGTTTCTCAAACCACGTCTCTTTTGGGGAGATTTAGAATATTCATAGAAAATTAATTTTGTTTACATACTGGTTCCCAGTTATGCTCTCTGTGTTCCATCTCATAGAGACATAACTTGGGAATGTTACCAGTAAATATACATGTGCATATTGTTTACATTGAAATCTGTGGTAACCCTTCATTCGAGGTAGGGGTAGTTAAGAAAATTAGTGTTAGTTTAAACTCTGAAAAGTTCAGGGCATATAAACGTTGAAAATATGCCGCACAGCCCTATATTTTGACCTTTGAAAAAAATTGTAGTGCATATGAACTTTCAATTCTAGGATAAGATTTTGTTCAAAACTTCATAGTAAAAGTGGTACAGTTTTAGCCGTAAAAGGAGTTCCTATGGGAAATTGCATTGTCAATATTTACAGAAATGCAACCTGTATGCAATAGGTCAGCTATATTTGGTGTATGGAAATATTTTATTATGTACATGTCAGTATGGCAGGTTTTATTTGACCTTGACCTCATTTTCATGGTTCATTGCTCAATGTTAAGTTTTTGTGTTTTGGTCTGTTTTTCTTAAACTATAAGCAATAGGTAAACTATGGTTGGTGTATGGAATGAGTGTAATGTTTATATGTCTGTCTGGCAGGTATCATCTGACCTTGACCTCATTTTCATGGTTCATTGGTCCATGATAAGTTTTCATGGTTAAATTTGTTTCTTAGATACTATATTTTATATGTCAACTAAAATGGATCTTTGGAATGATTGTAAAGTGTACATGTCTGTTTGGCAGGGTTCATCTGACTTTGACCTCATATTCATGGTTCATTGGTCAATATAAAGTTTTCATGGTTTGGTCTGTTTCTTTTATACTATATTCAATAGGTCTACTATATTCAATGTATGGAATGATTGTAAGGTGTACATGTATTACTGGCTTGGTTTATCTGACCTTGACCTCATTTTCTTGGATCTTGATAAGTTAATGTGATACTTGTAAAACTTTATATTTAGGGCTATCAACATAAAATCAATGGTAGTAAAGCAGGCGAGACATTTCAGCGTGCACACTCTTGTTTGACTAGGATCCAGTATTTTATTAAACCTATATAATAAATACTTTTTACTAAAAGACTGCAAATATTTTACCATCAATATTTATATCTATGGATTTATTATTTTAACGGTATGAGCAAAATTTTAATGCATTTACTTTCCTTTTCTTAAGACTAAATCACTAGAAGTAAGATTAGTGAAGTGTACAGTAAGAGAAAGTAAGAAGAAAGGTAGACCTCCAGGTTCAAAAAATAAGAAGAAAGTTAAATCCATGAAGAATGTCATCAAAAGACCAAGGGGCAGACCTCCAAAATCTGAGAGCAGTATTAAAGTCACTTCAAAAGAATCAAACAGTCAATTTATTTCAAAAGAATCGAACAGTAAATTCACATCAAAAGAATCTATGAGTTATCAAGATTTTGTAAAACAAGTAAATGAAGAGTTGTCTGCTATCAATGGTACAAGTATGGAAGATGATATCGCTGAAAACGATGATACAACAACAGAAATGGAATACTCTGATGATGAAAGGGAAGATGAATACTTTGATGATGAATGGGAAGATAGTATTATATTTCATGAACGGCAGCAAGACGAGTCACCATCACCAAAACGTCGTGCTGGCAGGCCCCCAGGAACTAAGAATAAACCTAAAGATGAAAAGCTTTTATCCCTAAAGAAAAAGAACCTAGGATGTGGAAGTCCAAAGAAAGAAAAAAGAGGTAGAGGAAGACCCCCTAAATCTTTACAGGTAGTGTATTCAGTTTATTGTCCCCCGCCCGATGCATTGTGGGGGACATAGAAATACAGGGTGTCCATCCGTTCGTGTGTCTTTCTGTCCGGTCTTGTTAGCTCTTTTACTTGTACAAAACTTGCCAGATTTTCATAAAAATTTATATCAGCAATGTCTTGGACAAGTTTGGAAATCAATGATGATCAACTATTTTTAAAAGAGTTATGCTCCTTGGAAATATTAATTATATGGAAAATTACATTGTTAGGGCTCTCGTACTATTCTTGCTAGAATTTTATTAAACTTTATATTTAAAGTTTTAAAGAAGAAAAAAAAGATTTTTTTTTTAGTTATTGCCCTTGGACAGATAAAATATGTGCAATGCAGGGGACATTGGAACTCGGTTCTTTCATTTATATATAAGTAATCAAGCTTAAACACCAAAGTTTATGGAAATTTTGGGCCTTCTTTAGTTTGGCATATTTTTCATAGAAACCTCTTATGAGACGATTATGAAGTTTTGTATTCTTTTGGATCAGCATCAATAGATCTAATTCCCATGGAGATTATTTTACCTCATCTCTCCATGATAAAACACTGACCTTTAAATTTTAAATGGCTTACATGATGGAAGTGTGCAAAAAGTACAAAATTATAGAAAATGAGAGAAAACTAGTACACCAAAGTAAACATGTACAATGGTCAGTTTTACAGGAAGAACTTGTTATAAGTTCAGGGTAATTTTGTATACAGTATTATTTTTATTTCCATGGAGACTATTTATATTCCCCCCTCAGATATCCTTCACTGATTTTAAATTACTCATATAGTTGACATGTTACAATTTGTGACCTATTCAATTAACTTATCACACATGATGAACACTAAACCCTTAAATGTTGCCTTTACATTTTATGTCCACAATTTATAAATTGATTAACATATAAATATCTCTATTACAGATACCAATAGAGGAATCACCCACTGTTAAAAAGCCTGGTAGACCTACAGGTTTTGGGAAGAATGATGAGAATAAAACACGTCTATGCAAGGGAGATGTTAGTTACACAGAAGCTGTGGAAGATATTATAGAAGAAATATCAGACAGTGAATATGAATATATGTCAGAGGAGGAAGAAGAACAACCAGTAAAAAGAGGCCGTGGGAGACCCCCAAAGCAAGATTTTAGTTACACAGAGGATGTTGAAGATATGGAAGAACAATCTGACAGTGAAATTGAATATATTTGGGAGGAGGAAGAAGAAAAACCAGTTAAAAAAGGCCGTGGGAGACCCAAAAAAAATAAAGATGAGGTGGAAGATGTTCAGTCAATAAAGAGAACCCCTGGGAGACCTCTGAAATCTGCTTATGAGAAGGAAGCAGTACATTTAGTTAAGAAAGGTCCTGGGAGACCTCCGAAAAATGCTAATGAGGAATATCAGGTACATGCTGCGAAAAGAGGTCGTGGGAGACCTCCTAAAAGTCCATATGCCAAGCAAGATGTTAATTACACAGAGGATGTTGAAGATATTATACAAGAACAATCTGACAGTGAAAATGAATATATTTCAGAGGAGGAAAAAGAACAGCCAGTAAAAAAAGGCCGTGGGAGACCTAAAAAAATAAGTAATGTGAATCAAGATTTACAGCCATTGAAAAGAGGTCCTGGGAGACCTCCAAAAAATTATCATGATGACCATTATGTACAGCCATTGAAGAGAAGTCCTGGGAGACCTCCAAAAAGTGCTAATTCGCCTGGGAAGAGAAAAAGAGGTCGTCCATCTGCATCTGAAAGTAAAAAATTAAGATTGAGCATTGTAAGTTTTGTTATCTGAGTTGCACTACTGGATGAAGTTGCCAGTGTTATACAAAATATTACTTACTGAATGAACACCTCAAACCAGAATGTCGAAAAACTTTTAATTTATAAAAATTTGACCTAGAGTATATGCAACTGAGGTTATTATTTACCACACATGATTAGTTATCTGATATTGAATGATTGGGTTATCAAATTCTGACATGAGGTGAATACCTTGGAACTTGGCAACAAAAAATATATTAAATATTTCTTACTGTGAAAGTACTTTTATTTGTGGGGTAACAATTTTCACCGTATTCGTGGAAGCCTTTATCCACGAATTTAACTGTCAACAAAATTTTATTACTGTTGTCCAAAAAAAACACATGGAAAGATCCCCTGTAGGTTTGATTACATAGTAATCTAGAGAAAACATTGAATATCAGCAAATGCATTATGAACTATATGCAGTGTAGTAGCACCAGTGTAGTATGTACAACTTCAGTTGGATTTTAATCTTTAATTAACATAAGTTGTACGACTTTTAACCTTTTTATTCTCATGAAAAAATTAGTTTCGGAAGATGAAAGTCATACTTCCAGTGAAGATATATGATGGTGAAGTGTTCATTTTATCTCCTCACATTTCTCACTAAAAAAATATTAATTTCATATAGGGCTTTCTTTTCCATTTCAAAAGTATTAATTCAAAGTACATTTGTAGCATTTCTTATGCAACCTTTTTCTTTAAATGACATGTTTATGGACCAATTAACATCATTGATGATCGTTAATCTGTTGATTGTTCGATCTTGGGTTAATTAGTGTCACCACTTCTGATTACATGTGTGCAACAATTAAAATGTTTACTTCAATGAGACAATTTGTATTCAGAGATGAATAATCAGCTTATTTCGGAAATTATTTTATTAAAAATCTAATGAATGTTATCAGAAAAGAAAGACGAACATGTAAGTGAAAATGAACAGCATATGATTATTTTAAAGAATCTTGTTTCAGATGAGATCCTTACCTAAATTTTATTTTCAGAGATCGAAAATCCACAAATTTAAGAACCGACGAACATGTAACTTTGCTCATTCCACGAAAATTGATACCAATGAATAAAAGTACTTTCACAGTATGTAAAAGCTCAGGAAATCCTTCTTTCGATTCATAGTAAATTAAAATGCAGCATATGTTATCTCAATTTTGATCTTCTCGGATCACTCGGGAGTCCATCATAAACTTTTTCAAAGATTTTCCTGTCTACAACAATCTCCATCTTGATATGAATGATCTTTAGATTATCTCTGTTAAAAGTAACACCAGAAAATTTCACCTATCAGCCAACTTGTCAATTGTTACATATACTTTACATAAAACATTAGGTATTTAAGCCTTAAAGATGAATTTTATAGAGGTTTATTTAAAGATATAGCAGTAGGCAGTTTGTTTTCTGGTCTTTGTGTCAATCTATTAATCTGTCTGTCTGTTCCTCCGTCCATTCATCTGTCCCATATTGGGTTAAAGTTTTGGTTTGAGGTAGTTTACTAGTTAACCATGAAGTTGTAGTCACATCATCTTAAAAATCAGTACACATGCATGTTCATTATATGATTGTGAACTTTTTGAAATATATGCCAAATCAGGGTTTCGCTTAGTATATAATTTTGTAATGTGAGTGCTTTTTTAAGGTGACTCATAAAAATGTAATATCGTACACCCATATTGCTGGTACACTTTGAAAATTATTATTATTACAATTTATTTAAACTGCATGATATCAAGTAATTCATATTATGTTTACCTTTAAGTTTTTCACAACTTAATTCTGTTTATACAGAATATAATAAGAAGAATAAGAATATTTATTGAATCCAATTAAAGGGCCCGTTTCCGAGCATATACATATATATATAGTATTAATTATACAGTAATTTTTAAGATATATTACCTTAAAAATAAATGATTAAATAACTATACTCCATACCAGATGATGTTTGAAAATAAATAAAATAGAATATTAACCCTCTCTAATACATAAAAATAAATAAACTACTGTAAGTTCACAATATATGCATAACTTCTATCTCTTATCTAAAAGTATCTTTTGGTATAATGTCATATCCAAATTTGGCAGATTTCCTTTGCCATAACTTGGATAAAAATTCTGAGAAATTATTTTGCAGACAGTTTTTTCCGAAAGGATTATCTTTTCTTGTTGTTAGGTAGTTATACATGCCTTTTTGTAATTTTTACATCTATTCTATCTTGCTGTTCTGTTTTGCTCTCATGTTATGGTTTATGATTAATAACTATGTAAAAATATTTTAGTCTGATACAAAAAATTGTGCCTGATGATACTATATGATTGAAGTTTTCATACGTTAAACATTTAATTTTTGAAATTGTTGAAAAATGCATTTACAATGTACTAGCAGCCCACATGTATCCTTAAAAAAATATATGTTCAAACCCATTCATGATCGGTTACTTCTCCAATATTTTATTTTACATTTGACCTATGCCCTGCCATATGACATAGATAATTCATTTCCAACTGTACTTGTAAATATTGTACTGAAATTATACTTCTACTCAACAACTTGCCTTGCTTCTGTTCATCCATCCATAACTTTTGTTAAATATCACTCAGCTTATGTTTAAGGAAGGATTTGATATTTGGTTTTGGAATTTTTAATGTTCAGTTGTACCGTGGAAGTAATTTTTAGATTTGCAAGATATTCACTTCCTGTTTGACCATACTTTGAATTATTATTTTACCCACTGAGTATCGAAGTTTTTGTAAATGTTTAATAATGAGATGGGGAATACTTTACACAACATGGCATTCAACTTTTTGTTTTTCCGTCATCTGCTATTTATTGTTACAATTGGCTGATCAAATTATAGTTATATGTTTTGTTACTCATCTAACATTAACAAGTGAATTTTTATTTAGCCGGGAGTAACAATCCCAAGGAAAAAAGAAAATAAGAAGAAAAATGAAGATCTAGTGATAGGCAGGAGGTTCAAAACACATATAAACTATGCTGCATTGGCAGAGGGATTGGACATTGAGGACAAAGAAGATTCAATAAGTTCTGAAGCTGACACAGACAATGTTAATATGATCGACGAGTCTCATTCTGAATACGAGACAGGTAATGGTGATATGTCTAATACACATTCTGAAGACAGTCATTTAAATTTAAGTTCGTCAGGTAATGAGGAGGAATTCCCCAAAATAATTAATGAAAAAAGAAGCCCTGGCAGACCTAAAAAAACTGACATTATATGTACTGAAAATACATTAAATAGTGATATCATGAACTTTTCCGAAAAAAGGGGAAGAGGAAGACCTAAAAATTCTGAGAGGAAGCGTCCTGGCAGACCAAAGAAAATAGCCAATTTTACAAGTGATGATTCACAAGAGGAAAGTTCTGTGACAGAAGAAGTTTCAAAACGTGGTCGAGGGAGACCTAAAAAAGTAACTAATAGTGTAGATCTGACTAGTGGTGATGGCTTTGAACAAAGCAAACAATCTCCCAGTAAATCAAACATAATTCAACATGGAGTAATCAAAAGAGGTCCTGGTCGACCTAAAAAGGTGGCACCAACATTGGATATGACGTGTGATGAGGAGGACGGAACAGGTATCAGTGGTATTACCATGGAAGGTTGGGAAGGATTTACTGGTGGTATTGATCAATCCAAGGAATGTCCAATAGATATATTGTGTAATGGTTCATTAGCCAGAGAAGAAGAGGATGTTATAGCAAAAAATGCTCCAGATTTAATAGAGGTACTGTAAATTGAGAAATTATTGCGCGCATTTATTATTGCGATTTTTGAAAAGTGTACAGAAATGCAAGATCAATTATTGCGATTTCAGGAAAATCTCCGTACAGATATCAGGATGCGAGTTCTTATTATTAGGATACTCAGCCAATCGCATTATTCGCATTAATCAAAACCTCGCAATAATTTCTGAATGTACAGTAGTAAGTTGTATAAAAATAAGAAGTTGTGGTATGCTTGCCAATGAGACAACTTTCCACCAGAGACTAAGTTTTGAAGACATATATAAGTCTTAAGATATACATTTGTAACTAAAAGTTAAAACATGATTTTTTTCCTCAAAGTACAGATAAAATTTAATTGAAAAAAAAATTTCTTTTTGTTTTACTTGCATAACCACCAGTGTCAAGGGATTCATAACTAGCACATTAAATTTGAAATGTCTTTCCAGCAATGCACCTTCATCTGTACATGTATGTTTAAAAGGCACCTGCCATTTATAGCAATGTTAAGCAGTTGTAAGCAAAGCAATAAATAAAACCATTATTTGCCCAGATTCCTCAATAAAAATCCTAATCACTAATTTTATGCATGTTTTAAAATGGAGGGAATTGATTCCAGTATTTAAGGAGTCTGGGATATTTCAATATAAAAAAAGCAGATGTGTATTGATTTCCAATGAGACAACTATACACCAAAGCATGACTAGACCATATAGACCTATCTGTTGCAAATATGCATATTTTTCCTAAAGGCTCAAACTGTGCAGGAATGCAGGCTAGCATTTCTGAACCGTAAATGACTTCACAAAGGCACCAGTGATTGATTTTTTTTCTACATTATGACTTTGCTTCTTTTACTGTACTTTACTAGGGTTCCAAATAGGGTTATAGTAAATTTTGTTATCTTAACCTTTTTTTTAAAAAACAAAGTAGTGATCAAAAACTTGTTGTCTCTTAATATCAGTGAATAATCTTTATTAAGCAACAATATTGAAACAAATTACCTTTACCAGTAGAAGCAGAAGACATGTATTTCATGCCCATCTTGCACAAATGATTATTATTAATTGTATATTTTAATATTTATTTTAGTCAAATATAGATTCAACTGATGTTAGTGAAACAAATACAAACAGACAACCAGTGAGTTATATAGACGATGTTACCATTATTGATTCAGACAACCTACAGCTAGAACCATCACCCAAACCTGAGAATAACTTAATACAGAATAAGTTAGAGAACATTGCAAAACAGATCAATTCTAATACAATAGAATGTACAAAATTATCATCAAATACAGACAGCTTAACACAAGATATGATTATACAACCACTAACAATAAACTCTACATCACAACTGATAGCAATTACTGATTCACAGCCAGTTTTTAATAACAACTCTGCACCACAAGTAGTGATGATAAACTCAACACCACACCTACTTGTAAATTCAACAATACAGATACCCACATCAAGTTCTGTACCACATATTGGAATACAAGAATCTAATTCATCTTCCAGTTCAGTGGTAACAGGAGCTGTTGTGCCACAGGATAAAGTGATTTCAGAAACAATAGCACAGAGTTCAGAGCTTGGTCAGGTATCATCCTTATATCTAGATGTAAGTTTTTATATGAACGCAAAAAATTTGCGTTCCTATATTGCTATCATGTCGTCGTCCATAGACATTTAGATTCCGGACAAAAACTTTAGTATAATTGCATGGATCTCTATGAAATTTAACCACAAGGTTCAATAGCACAAAAGGAAGGTTGGGATTGACTTTGGGGGTTATGGCCCAAACCGTTCAGGAATTAGGGGCAAAAAAAGGGGGGCAAAAACAAGGTTTTTCTGGTTAATGGACAATTACTTAAGTATTAGTCAATGGATCTCTATGAAATTCCATACCACACACAGAAGGTTGGGGTCGATTTTGTGGGTTGTGGCTTTAATTGTTAAGAAACTAGAGGCCAAATAGGGGCCAAAAAACAAGACTTTTCTAATACTGGCTAAGCTGGTTCTAACATAAATTATTTCTGATCTATGTTAAGAAACAACAAATACTGATATGGCAGGAGGTACACACCAAAAAGGGTGTGTAAATTATTATATTTAGTTTGTAAACAGATTTACTAAGTATTGTGCAACAGCAAAGTATTGCACAACAGCAAGAAATCTTCAATTGAAAATAAACACAAATCTTTTAACCAATTTCAATGAGGATTAATTTAAAGTCTTGAATTATTTGAGATTTTTACCATGTATTACTATATTGGATATTTGGACATTTTTAAATAGGTCTACATTGAGGTCCAAAGGGTTGAAAATTAGACTTTGTTTGATTTCATCTAAAACTGAATTCTTGTGGTTCTATATTATGCTGATTCTAACTGTGCATTCGGATTTTTAATTTAGGGCCCTGTTTTCAAATTAGTCCATATTAAGGTCCAAAGGTCCAAAATTAAACTTTGTTTAAATTCCTGTTTTTTTATGCCCCCGCCGTAGCGTCCCAAATTTGGTTTCCGTTCTCTAACTTTAGATTGCCTCTACCAAATGTTATGAAACTTATTCACAATGCTTATTACCACAAAACACAGATCAGGGTTGAATTTTGGTGGTGTCACTTTTACTGTTCTAGAGTTATGCCCCTTTACAAATGGAAAAATTGCTGAATTTTTCGTTTCCGTTCTCTAACTAAAGTTTGCCTCAACCAAATGTTATGAAACTTATACACAATTCTTATTATCACAAAACTCAGATCAAGTACAAATTTGGGTAGTGTCACTTTTACTGTTCTTCAGTTATGTCCCTTTATAACTTTATATGATATGCAAGGGGGGGCATCATCTGTGTCCCATGGACACATTTTCATTTTTTTTTTTATATGTTGAATCTAACTATGGAATTAGATTTTGGATATTGGACCATTAAGTAGATTAAAAGTCCCATTTCAAATTTTTAAGTTATCTGACGACATTTATTCTGTGTCAGAAATCTATAATGTGTCAAATATTTATTCATTATCCAAATTCAGAGCTGTATCAAGCTTGAATATTGTATATAGATCTAAGAAGATGTGGTATGAGTGCCAATGAGACAACTCTCCATCCAAGTCACAATTTGTAAAAGTAAACCATCATAGGTCAAAGTACGGCCTTCAACACGGAGCCTTGGCTGACACTGAACAGCAAGCTATAAAGGGCCCCAAAAATGACTAGTGTAAAACCATTCAAACAGGAAAACCAACGGTCTAATCTTAATAAAAAAAAAAAACGAGAAACACTTATGAACCACATTAACAAGTGACAACCACTGAACATCAGGTTCCTGACTTAGGCCAGGTGCAAACAAATGCAGCGGGTTTTAACGTTTTAATAGGCGCCAACCTTCACCCTACGTGAAACAATAGTGTAACATCACAACATAGAAAGACACCCTATAAAATATCAATTGAAATGGCTTAATTCATTTAAAAGACATATTAACAAAAACAAGTGAACATACACTGAATGAATAAATTTGATCTATGATACAATGTAAATACAAAATTAATAAAACAAGGGGGTTAGATATAAAACAATATAGGAAAGACAACCATAACCTTTGACAAAATGCCACCAAATAAAATAACGTACACAGGTAAATAAAAATAATTTTGTTGTAAGGTATACATGGAGTACGGAAATAATTTTGTTGTTCCTAGTACAAGAACAAAAGTGAAAATTTATCGTCATACTAAACACTTATCAAAGATGGTAAATATGTGTCCATACTTGCCCCAACTGTTCAGAGTTCATCCTCTGCGGTCGTATCCAGCTGCTCAAGGTGGAGCGCATTTTTTGCATCAATATTAAAAAGAATATAGTTTTTCCAGGCAACTTTTATATTTCATGTGTAGCATATGATGGCATATCATTACTGTGGATTCATTTATTTTCATGGGTACCAATTTGCGTGGATTGAGGAAAAATCATATTTTCGTAGATATTTAATTTCTTGGTTTCGCCAAAATCTGCATACAAACATACAGAAAACATCTACTTCGTTCAACATTTAAATTTGTGGTTCATCTATAACATAGAAATCCACGAAAATTGGTATCCCATGAATAATAATGAACCCACAGTATATAGAGTTGAGTACCTTATTTAATAAATTGTTGACACAGAGATATGTCTCGCCTATGGGCATAAAATTTAGAAAAAGATGATCTAGTGGGCAGGGTCTGAAAATGGTTGATGAACTGAGATGTACAGACAGTAATGTAACTTTATAGAAAATATCGTTGTTTATTGTAAATAGTTCCTATCAATATAACTTAAGCCAAAGCCATCGCTGTCACCAGAAAAGCAATCCCTTTGTCTCGCTTTCGTCGCAGGCGAGACAAAAACTACATTCTTGTTCAATTTACATTTTCTTAAGCTTAATAAAAAACTACAATTATTTATTTTTAGCTCATCTTGCTCTAGGGGTTGGCTGAGCTATAGCCCAAGAAAACATAGTGACTCATTTACACCAATTTTGGTCAGAATTTGCCATAATGTATTGACTGTTTATAGGAGTTGTTGCTCTTCAATGGAAAGTACTGAAACACTTCAATAAGGTGGTGTTGGGTACATGTCAGCGACGGCATCAACAATGTATTAGTTTGTGATTAGGTCAGTTTTGTGGGGAACCACTAGTGGTAGGTCAATGATATTTTGTATACAGTTGTATTAGCATTGGCACATCTCATTTCCATGGAAATTATATGTCCCCGCTTCCTCAGTCATGGTCTATTGACTTTGAAACTTTTGTTTAGTTTACATGTATTAGCTTGTGATGAGGTCAGATTTTGGGGAACCGCTAGTAGTAGGTCAATGATATTTGGTATGCAGTTATATTAGCATTGGCACATCTCATTTCCATGGTAATTGTTTGGCCTTGCACCTTCAGTCATGGTCTATTGACTTTGAAACTTTTGCTTAATTTACATGTATTAGATTGTGATTAGGTCAGTTTATAGGGAACAACTAGTGGTAGGTCATTGATATTTGGTATTCAGTTGTATTAGCTTTGGCACATCTCATTTCCATGGAGATTGTTTGGCCACACCTTCTCAGTCATGGTCTATTGACTGAAACTTTTCTTAGTTTACATGTATTAGTTTGTGATGAGGTCAGTTTTTGGGGAACCGCTAGTAGTAGGTCAATGATATTTGGTATGCAGTTATATAAGCATTTTCACATCTCATTTCCATGGTAATTATTTGGCCCTGCACCTTCAGTCATGGTCTATTGACTTTGAAACTTTTGCTTAATTTACATGTATTAGATTATGATTAGGTCAGTTTATAGGGAACAACTAGTGGTAGGTGACTGGTCAATGATATTTGGTATTCAGTTGTATTAGCTTTGGCACATCTAATTTCCATGGAGATTGTTTGGCCACACCTTCTCAGTCATGGTCTATTGACTGAAACTTTGCTTAGTTTACATGTATTAGTTTGTGATGAGGTCAGTTTTTGGGGAACTGCTAGTAGTAGGTCAATGATATTTGGTATGCAGTTATATAAGCATTGGCACGTCTCATTTCCATGGTAATTATTTGGCCCTGCGCCTTCAGTCATGGTCTATTGACTTTGAAACTTTTGCTTAATTTACATGTATTAGATTGTGATTAGGTCAGTTTATAGGGAACAACTAGTGGTAGGTCAATGATATTTGGTATTCAGTTGTATTAGCTTTGGCACATCTCATTTCCATGGAGATTGTTTGGCCACACCTTCTCAGTCATGGTCTATTGACTGAAACTTTTCTTAGTTTACATGTATTAGTTTGTGATGAGGTCAGTTTTTGGGGAACCGCTAGTAGTAGGTCAATGATATTTGGTATGCAGTTATATAAGCATTTGCACATCTCATTTCCATGGTAATTATTTGGCCCTGCACCTTCAGTCATGGTCTATTGACTTTGAAACTTTTGCTTAATTTACATGTATTAGATTGTGATTAGGTCAGTTTATAGGGAACAACTAGTGGTAGGTGACTGGTCAATGATATTTGGTATTCAGTTGTTTTAGCTTTGGCACATCTAATTTCCATGGAGATTGTTTGGCCACACCTTCTCAGTCATGGTCTATTGACTGAAACTTTGCTTAGTTTACATGTATTAGTTTGTGATGAGGTCAGTTTTTGGGGAACCGCTAGTAGTAGGTCAATGATATTTGGTTACAGTTATATAAGCATTGGCACATCTCATTGCCATGGTAATTATTTGGCCCTGCACCTTCAGTCATGGTCTATTGACTTTGAAACTTTTGCTTAATTTACATTTATTAGATTGTGATTAGGTCAGTTTATAGGGAACAACTAGTGGTAGGTCAATGATATTTGGTATTCAGTTGTATTAGCTTTGGCACATCTCATTTCCATGGAGATTGATTGGCCACACCTTCTCGGTCATGGTCTATTGACTGAAACTTTGCTTAGTTTACATGTATTAGTTTGTGATTAGGTCTCAGTTAATGGGTAACCACTAGTGGTAGGTCAATGATATTTGGTATGCAGTTATATAAGCATTGGCACACCTCATTTCCATAGATTTGTTTCACCCTGTACCTTTAGTCATAGTTCATTGACTTTAAATATTTTGGATAACTTACATGGTAAATGTATTGCTATTTCAATTTCAACATTGCATTTTACTAACAAAATAACAAAAAGGCGAGACATATCTCTGTGTTAACAGTTTATTCTTTGATTGATTATTGTTTGCTTAACATACAGTGGCAAGTATTTCTTGCATATATTCAGGTTGAGATATAATTACATTTCTACATGGGAAGAGAAATTAGTTTGTTATTCTCATTTCATCTTAGTGTCACTGGAAACAAAGTCTTCTACTGTGGGCAATTAAAACAATTGCACCATACAAGAAGCTCTAGACTTAGAATTCATTAAATGTGCAAGTAAATTATTTCTGTTTTTCAGGTGTCCATTTCCTAGGCCATCCAGTGGGACAAAATAAGGCAGGGCAGCTGAAAGGTGGAATAGAACTATTAGTATTCTGAGCAATGTTTGCATTTAATTATATATTAATAAGTTTTTGTCTGTTCAATAATTCTAAGTCATGCTTAACGGTGTCAGCCTTTGAAATTTTTAAAATCAAACTTTTCCAAATTCATTTGTCATTAGATTATATAAAATACGTTTAAAAATATAGAAAATGAATGTATATTTGTGTGCTTGCTGTTTGAGATATGAACATTTGAAGAAATTTAATTTTTGACAAGAAAATAATTTCTCCAGAATTTGTAACATGTAGGAAATGTATTCACAAAATTGAATATTAAATTTAGTAGAAAAATCTGGAAGGAATAACAAGAATTGCTATTTTTTGTTTGTTTTGTAAAATGTGTATTTAAGTTTTATCACTAAAGAAATAAAACAAAATACAATATATTGAAACCTTTTTAAACCAAAACCTACATAAAGCATAAAAGCAAATTTAAATTAAACTCATCTTTTGAAATTTAATCTGTGTCTTCTATTTAGACATGAACAGATTTCATTAAATACTAGTTACTTAGCATAATTTTTCAAAAGTTTGCTTTAATAGGAAAGGACCTGTGGAGTTAAATATTTTTATGAAAAATAAAGATTCCATAGCGGAGGGGGCATTAAGTTTTACCCTTGTCCATCCATCTGTCCGTCCTGAAATTGGTTTCAGTTCTTTGAATTTGGGTGGTGTCACTTTTACCTTTATAGAGTAACGCCCCTTTACAAATGGAAAAATTGTTGCTGAATTTTTCGTTTCTGTTCTCTAACTTAAGTTTGCCTTAACCAAATGTTATGAATCTTTTACACAATGGTTATTACCACAAAACACAAATTAAGGTTGAATTTTGGTGGCGTCACTTTTACCATTCTAGAGTTACGCCCCTTTACAAATGGAAAATTGCTGAATTTTTCGTTTCTGTTCTCTAACTTAAGTTTGCCTCAACCAAATGTTATGAAACTTATACACAATACTTATTACCACAAAACTCAGATCAAGTACGAATTTGGATATGGTCACTTTTATCGTTCTCGAGTTATGTCCCTTTGTAACGTTATATGCAAGGGGCATGATCTGTGTCCCATGGACACATTCCCCATTTATGTTTTTGTATATTATATATATTGTTAAATGAATACAAGCAATAGTAAATTGAAACATTGTATATATGCTTACGACTGTTACCAGTATTTTGATTCATAAGCCTGTTGAGATAGTTTTGTTGCTGTATAATTTTTAGGCAGTTAATTTGTATCAAAAGCATATGAATAAAGAATGCTGTTTCTTATGTTCACACAATTATTTGTTAGACTTTATCTTCGTAAGGGAGATTGTTAGAAGTTACAATGTACAGAGGCTTATATGAACAATTGTTTCTTGTTACACAAAAAGGATTGTTAATTATGAAATTGATTTTTAACATCAAGTTACATTGAAAATAGTTTTTAAGATGATATATACTGTTAAAATTTTATACTTTTGCTTAATGTTCTATGTGTATAGGACAGTAATCATTATCAGACATCATAAATGTACTTTATTGCCACTAAAGGTTCTGTTATTTGAGCAATCATATAAACATGAATGATTTTACATCTTTATTCAAGAAGATTTTTTTTTAAATGTATAGTATTAGAATATAGTTATGTTACTATATAAGAAAAAGAGTGGGCACATTGTTATGAAGTACATTTGCAATTTTATATGTTAAAAAAATGATTGCTGTATAGTCATCACAAGGTATCACTTGTGTTGTTGTTTTTCTCTTTACTTGAACCACTCAATAAAAACCAACTAAACTTCATATGATCTCTTGTTGCATTATTGTTATAAATAGTACGAGAAACGGATAGCTTTAAATGTAGACATTTTAGCAAGTAGCATATTGTCCTTGTAACTTTTTAGGTCCCTTTTAGTCATACACCTACTGACATTTGTGGTATTAATAAATTCATGGCTTTCTTTTTAGGTAGATCCACAAAAAGTGTTTTGGACACACAAAATATTTCAAGTTTTAATTTCATTAGAAGACCGCTCCTTTTTTTCTGCACATGATCAAATCAGCATTCATCAGAAACTCATTCATATTAACAAATCTGGAACTAACAAATTATTTTTGTTATTACTTTTATTATTTGACATGAATAATCAGCCTGACTGAATGAGGGTTTATGAACATTACTTTTAATAGTAACTGATTATCTGCTTATTTTGTATGACAGGGAAAACTACCTACAGTTGATTTAGCCTCTGAAATTGGTAAATTGATTGCAGATCTTTAATATGTTATGAAATGTGATTTTTAGGACAAGGCTTTGATAAGAAATGTCCTCTAGAACTGTTTTCAAAATGTCTTTCATGACTTGCTCTCCAGAATTCTCATTTTAAATAACATGCTGAATATCATTGTAACTATTTAAGAATTATGTTTTCTTTGTATACCTACATTAGCTAGCTATATAATTACAGTCAACTACACCAGCTTCACTGCTTGTTTATATTTTATGCCCTGTCTACAATAGTAAGGGGCATTTTGTTTTCCTGTTTGTTTGTCTTTGCATCCGTCCATCTGTTTGTTCATTGTCCAGTATCTGGATTAAGCTTTGGTATAAGGCAGGGGTTATAAATGTTTTGGTTTAAAGTAGTTTATCAGGAAGTTGGGCTAAAATCAATTTGAAAAACATGATGTGAACTTTTAAATGTATGCCAAAGTAGGGTTTTCACTCAGATTTCATGGTTTGATGAACATGTGTAACAATTTTGTGGATTAAGTCTATAAAGAAATTTAATAACATTTGGAAATAAATGCAAATTTATAACAATAAGTAAATTGACTCAGAACGAATATTGCAATGATTAAAGCTCTTGCTTAACTTTGGTAGTTATATTTTACTACAACCTGTACAAAAATCACATTAACCTTGTATAATTTGCCTTTTCCAAAATTTCACAAATGTACACCTTAAATAATAGATACTGTCCATTTCAGCCAAATATCAGATACCTGTAGACAAAAAAAAATTATGTAGGTCTTGTTTGGAAAATACAAGTGATTTGTGTGCCATGATATTTTTAGTTATCTAGGCAGTGCCAGTCAACAAAGTCTGATATGTTTGGGGATATAACTGTTATCATTATCTTGAACCATTTTGATTCTAATTATGTACCCAGTATAGCTAGTAAAGGATATTTTCCATATTTTTCATTCTTGTGCTTCAGTTATATGTAATCTAAAAATCATTTTACTTTACACTGCTTTTGAAGTTTGCTTAATAGAATGTAAATAACTGAAGCCAGGGTGTGATAGAGGATATTTCATTTCTAATTTTTTTTTACTAATACATGTAGTGATTCATTGATAATTAATTAGTTAGTATATCTGTTATTATTCTATTCACATGTGAAAATGATTTTTGATTATTTGTCTTCTTTTAGTCAATCTTTTTGAAACATAATATTCTTGAATGACAACGAAAATAATTTCCCAAAAAGTTTTCCTTGTACTTTAAATCAAAGAAGTTAACAAGATAATTACGTAGTCATATTTATATACTAACAGCATTTATATAAAAACTGTGTTCATCTTAGTTGTAAACTATATATTTGTGCAATATTTTAAAGAAAGGTGCATTTTTACTGTATACAAATTATCTTTTATTTTGATTGTTTAAATGAATCTGTTTAAGATACTTTTGGGTTGTAAGTTGTATCTCTGGTAAATGTAACATTTACTGCAGGTTATTGTATCTTTGGTAAATGTAACATTTACTGCAGGTTATTATTGTATCTCTGGTAAATGTAACATTTATTGCAGGTTATTATTGAGAATATTTAGTTTTTAGGTAGGAAAGCTTATAAGATGAAAGTGGGGAAGAAGACATTTATTATTTTCATTTATTTCATCAGACTAATTCATTATCCATTGCATGATAAGTTTTTTCTACCATAAATTCAGAAATGGTGTTGCATTTAACAGAATATCATTGCTTTGGAAAGATTAATGTAGATGTCAAGTACAGCGACATAGAGAATGAATTGTAATTTACTTGTATGGAAGTATTAATTCTGAAATGGTCAATTGAAGTTTTATTATGTCTCATGTAAAATAACAAACAGTGCACTAGTTATATTTATTTGACGATACAATTTCCATCCATATTCAACCTGGGAAACACCTGAATAACCATGTATTTCAAAGTGGAATTCTAGGAATATATACATTTCTGATAAATTTAATAATAATAAAAAACATTAAATTCAAATCAGCTTGATCTGAAGTGTCTGTGTAAGAAAAACATTTTATTCATTGTTAAATCATTGTCTTGTTCTTTTAGCCATATTACTCAACCAAATATTTCTGTTAAGTTTCCTAAAGTATTCTCATTTGAAATTAAATTCCTATTCTTTGGAAATGATCATGCAATTGAAATTCTACAAATCCACAGTTTATTTCTAGTGCAAATGGTTTAATTATTAATTAAATTGTAAAAGAACTACTCTAAATTTGTTCAGGTTCTGATTAATGAGATGTCAACCAAATTGTGTATAAATGAATGTTGGTGGAATAACTTGCTTTAGAGATAACTCTTGTTTTTTTATTATTAATTTTAGAAGCCAAAATTTGTTAGTTATATAGTTTTCATGTTTTCATGATTGTTGTTTCACAGATGTAATCTTATCAAAATATATATCTGTTGTGTTGCTGTCAATAAATGGTTGTCCTCAAAGCAATTTATTTTTATTATACTGCCCATCAAAGATTTATTATAGTATACCAATGTTGTCCTTCCTTCAACACTTCGTACAATAACTAAAAATTGCTTTAACTAATTATCATGTCACTCTAACACCACATAAGGAAGAAAGCTCACTTTGATTTTGAAAATTGTTGCCTTTGTTGTTCCAGAGGTACAGGACTCTTTTAAACCGTTTGAATTAAGGCAATTTTTCACATAACTCCAGTATACCTTGATTGATTTCCCCCAAACTTTACCTTACTTTTAGGATTAATAAAGGAAGCTGTAAAACGTACCAAAATTGAGTTTGCTTGAATTAAGGTAATGGAAACTTAAAATACTTGTTGGAATTAGTGAAAGTAGCACACCATTTGATTTAATTTTTTTTTATATGTCATTCAAGAGTTATGAGACTTTGACAATCGAATGATCTCACAATAGACCACTTTCAGTTATGTCCTTCACTGGAAAAGTTTGCCAATTTTGCTCACCTTTATGATCTACTTTTACCAGATAGAGGGGATCGCCTGTATTCCTGCACTATTAAAGTTCATCAAGTGTCTTTGTGATCGTCATTATGCAGAACAAACTAGAAATAATGTTTGTTCCATAGGTACTTAATCACAATTCCCTAATGATATCAGTGCTGATTATCAATTATAAGAATTTAATTTGCCGAATAATTCGTGCAATATAGCATCAATTTTTTTTACCTTACTTTTAGTATTAATAAAGGAAGCTGTAAAACGTACCAAAATTGAGTTTGCTTGAATTAAGGTAATGGAAACTTAAAATACTTGTTGGAATTAGTGAAAGTAGCACACCATTTGATTTAATTTTTTTTTATATGTCATTCAAGAGTTATGAGACTTTGACAATCGAATGATCTCACAATAGACCACTTTCAGTTATTTCCTTCACTGGAAAAGTTTGCCAATTTTGCTCACCTTTATGATCTACTTTTACCAGATAGAGGGGATCGCCTGTATTCCTGCACTATTAAAGTTCATCAAGTGTCTTTGTGATCGTCATTATGCAGAACAAACTAGAAATAATGTTTGTTCCATAGGTACTTAATCACAATTCCCTAATGATATCAGTGCTGATTATCAATTATAAGAATTTAATTTGCTGAATAATTCGTGCAATATAGCATCAAATTTTTTTAACCACTCACTCAACATGGGAAGGAAGTGACCATGCTCCTAAACGCATGAATGATGTTCACTAAAACCAAAATTTTTGATGGAAATGCAACAAACTCATTTACATGAAAACAAAATCTTTTCAAATTTAGATATGTTGTTTCCTGTGACTAAATGAAGGTCAAGTTCAATTTTCAAGTTTTTAGCTGTTCTCGTTGTTGGGTTGTAGACCCTTTCAGTAGCAAAAGTGCTTAATATTTAAGTCTCCCAAACGAAGTTTGGGAAGACTTATTGTTTTTGCTCAGTTATTATTATTATTATTCTTCTTCCTCTTCCTCTTCCTCTTCCGCCGCTTTTAAATTTGAACTTGTCCGCACCCGTTCTCCAAAACCGCTTGTCAGATTAACTTAGGGTTTCACAATATGTTAGACTAACATGTCTAGTGGTGCAATCAGGGTTTTGTTTGTGCAATGGGGTTTATAAAGGGGTACTTTGAGGGGAAAAAAGAAAAGAGGGTTTTACTATAGAACCCTATGGGATTTTATTTTTTTTAATTTTCAAATGATTATAAATTGAAAACCGTTTGTGATACACACAATCTTTTTAATTGAAAATGTTCTAAATGATAAAACCCATTAAATGAAATACAGGGTTAGTCCCCAGGGGTCATCCCCACCCCCTGCCATTTAAGAAAGTTCTAATACCTTGTAAGTGGTCAAGATCCCCACCCCTAAACCATATATATTCTGGTTTGTCATGCTAAGATGGTTTGAATGATATACAGGGTTAGTCCCCAGGGGTCATCCCGACCCCCTGCCATTTGAGAAAGTTCTAATATCTTGAAATGGTCGATATCCCCACCCCTAAACCATATATATTCTGGTTTGTCATGCTAAGATGGTTTGAATGATATACAGGGTTAGTCCCCAGGGGTCATCCCGACCCCCTGCCATTTGAGAAAGTTCTAATATCTTGTAAATGGTCGAGATCCCCACCCCTAAACCATATATATTCTGGTTTGTCATGATAAAGCACATGAAATGAAATACAGGGTTAGTCCCCAGGGGTCACCCCCACCCCATGCCATTTAAGAAAGTTCTAATATCTTGTAAGTGGTCAAGATCCCCACCCCTAAACCATATATATTCTGGTTTGTCATGCTAAGATGGTTTGAATGATATACAGGGTTAGTCCCCAGGGGTCACCCCCACCCCATGCCATTTAAGAAAGTTCTAATATCTTGTAAGTGGTCAAGATCCCCACCCCTAAACCATATATATTCTGGTTTGTCATGCTAAGATGGTTTGAATGATATACAGGGTTAGTCCCCAGGGGTCATCCCGACCCCCTGCCATTTGAGAAAGTTCTAATATCTTGTAAATGGTCGAGATCCCCACCCCTAAACCATATATATTCTGGTTTGTCATGCTAAGATGGTTTGAATGATATACAGGGTTAGTCCCCAGGGGTCATCCCGACCCCCTGCCATTTGAGAAAGTTCTAATATCTTGTAAATGGTCGAGATCCCCACCCCTAAACCATATATATTCTGGTTTGTCATGCTAAGTTGGTTTGAATGATATACAGGGTTAGTCCCCAGGGGTCATCCCCACCCCCTGCCATTTGAGAAAGTTCTAATATCTTGAAAATGGTCGATATCCCCACCCCTAAACCATATATATTCTGGTTTGTCATGCTAAGATGGTTTGAATGATATACAGGGTTAGTCCCCAGGGGTCATCCCGACCCCCTGCCATTTGAGAAAGTTCTAATATCTTGTAAATGGTCGAGATCCCCACCCCTAAACCATATATATTCTGGTTTGTCATGATAAAGCACATCAAATGAAATACAGGGTTAGTCCCCAGGGGTCACCCCCACCCCCTGCCATTTAAGAAAGTTCTAATATCTTGTAAGTGGTCAAGATCCCCACCCCTAAACCATATATATTCTGGTTTGTCATGCGAAGATGGTTTGAATGATATAATGGGTTAGTCCCCAGGGGTCACCCCCAGCCCCTTCTATTTAAGAAAGTTCTAATATCTTGTAAGTGGTCAAGATCCCCACCCCTAAACCATATATATTCTGGTTTGTCATACCAAGATGGTTTGAATGATATACAGGGTTAGTCCCCAGGGGTCACCCCCACCCCCTGCTATTTAAGAAAGTTCTAATATCTTGTAAGTGGTCAAGATCCCCACCCCTAAACCATATATATTCTGGTTTGTCATACCAAGATAGTTTGAATGATATACAGGGTTAGTCCCCAGGGGTCATCCCGACCTCCTGCCATTTGAGAAAGTTCTAATATCTTGTAAATGGTCGAGATACCCACCCCTAAACCATATATATTCCTGTTCATCATGTCTCGAACATTTGAATGACGTATACGGTCAGTCCCCATTGGGTTCCCCCCACCCCCAATGTTCTAATATCTTGTAAACGGTCGAGATCCCCACCCCTCGACCATATATATTCCTGTTCGTCGTTTCTCGAACATTTGAATGATGTATAGGGTCAGTCCCCAGGGGTTCCCCCCACCCCCAATGTTCTAGTATCTTGTAAATGGTCGAGATCCCCACCCCTAAACCATATATATTCTGGTTTGTCATGCCAAGATGATTTGAATGATATACAGGGTTAGTCCCCAGGCATCACTAATGCATTAACTTTACTGGACCAAACCAATTTTCACTGGACTTTGTCCAATGTCAGGCGACACTGGGAATTACGAATTATGGGAGCTTCGTTTGGGAGACTTCGTAACAGCATCCTGTTACAATCATTTCTTGTAATTATATGATTTATTGTTTGAGTTATTTCTCTTTGAACAGAAATGGTATAATTAACAAGTATATGGATAAAATTAAACTGTGTTTCATTTCAACATAAATTGAATATATATAGGGTTCTTTCAAATGCTGAATCTAAACCTGTATTTAAATATTGGATTTTTGGGCACAGTTTTCAAGTTGGTCCAAATCAGGGTCCAAAATTAAACTTTGTTTGATTTCAACAAAAATTTAATTTATGGGGTTCTTTGAAATGCTGAATCTAACCATGTATTTAGAGATTTTGGATTTTGGGCTCGTTTATCAAATTGGTCCACATTGAGGTCCGAAGGGTCCTAAATTTAAACTTTTGTTTGATTTCATAAAAAAATTTAATACTCCTGGTTCTTTGATATGCTGATTCTAACAATGTACTTAGATTTTGAATATTGTTATTATATGAATTGAGTTATTTCCCTTTGAACAGAAATGGAGTAATTAAAAAGTATTTCATCAAAAATTGAATTCTTGGGGTTCTTTGATATACTAATTCTAACAATGTACTTAGATTTTGGATATTGGACCATAATAAGTAAATGTCCAATTTCAAAATTTTCAGTTATTTGACCACATTCATTTTGTGTCACAAACCTATGCTGTGTCAAATATTCAATCACAATCCAAATTCAGAGCTGTTTTAAGCTTAAATGTTGTGTCCATACTTGCTCAACTGTTCAGGGTTCGACCTCTGCAGGAAAATCCGGTTTGCTGTCACTCTGACAGCCTCTTGTTTGTAAAATACAGTCGTAAATATGATAAAACACATAATTTTCTATATCAACATGAAAAGTCTTGCACATGATTTACAAACTACACTCGAAATTTGCACATTTCATTAAAGATCTAGACCAGTTGTTATTTGCTATTTCAAAATCCAAATGAAGGAAGACACCCCAGCTACCTTAATATAAAATCTCTATTTTTACTGATGATACAGTTAATCAGGAACATATATATTGACATACTGTTCCCAGAGCTAATGCAGACCATATATTTTCATATTCAATCATTTTTA